ACAAATACACACACTTGCATATATGTACACACACACACACACACACATACACACACAAAATACATACTCAAATAAACAGAGAAAGAAACACACATGCACATACACAGACATATAGACACACACACATTTGCATATATGTACACACACACACAAAATACATACTTAAATAAACAGAGAAAGAAACAAACATACACATACACAGACATAGACACACAAACACACACACTTGCATATATGTACACACACACACACACACATACACACACAAAATACACACTCAAATAAACAGAGAAAGAAACACACATGCACATACACAGACATATAGACACACACACATTTGCATATATGTACACACACACACACACAAAATACATACTTAAATAAACAGAGAAAGAAACACGCATACACATACACAGACATAGACACACAAACACACACACCCTTGCATATATGTACACACACACACACACACACTAAATACATACTCAAATAAACAGAGAAAGAAACACACATACACAAACATACAGACACACATAAACATACACACTCATGACATATGCATACATTTACAGACACACACATAAAGACACAAACTTACACAGAGACACACATGCACATACAGACACAAACAACAATAAACAAAAACACACAAACACAACCTACACACACTCTCTCTCTCACACACACAAAGACACACATATATACACAGACACAAATGCACATGCAAACACACACACAAACAGCAATAAAAACAAACACACATACACTGACAGACACACTTTCTCTCTCTTTCTCACACACACACACACACACACACACATGTATGACGTGCACATCCTCTTTGGAGTTAATTAGAGAAACTCTCTGGGCCAGAACTGATTTCAACCTGCTGCTGCTGCGCTCAGAGTAAACAAACTTATCTCCTCTCTCTCTTCTCCTCTCTCTGTCTCTCTCTCGCTCTCTCTCTCTGGCTGCAGCTCAGAGAACATTTTAACAAGCCTTCTGTTGATTTAGCTGACAGACAGACAGCTGCACATCTCTAATACTCTGATGATTAGTGTGTGTCCGTTAACTCTTCAGGGCTTTAACTATACATCATGTCATTATGTATTAAAAATGCAAGAATTAATCCTTTAATCATAATAACAGCCGTGATTAAAGAGCTGTGCTGATGCTAAAGGTGTGCGTTATGATCAATCGATTCTATTTTATTTCATGGTAAGAATGTATTGCTTGCCTCATTTATAATATTACGTCATAATATCTAATTATCTGCTGATAAATGAGTCAGAAAACCAACAGAAATGTTATCTATATACCCTCACCGGCCACTTTATTAGGTACACCTGTCCAACTGCTTGTTAACGCAAATTTCTAATCAGCCAATCACATGGCAGCAGCTCAATGCATTCAGGCATGTAGACATGATCAAGACGATCTGCTGCAGTTCAAACTGACCATCAGAACTGGGAAGAAAGGGGATTTAAGAGACTTTGAACGTGGCATGGTTGTTGGTGCCAGACGGGCTGGTCTGAGTATTTCAGAAACTGCTGATCTACTGGGATTTTCACGCACAACCATCTCTAGGGTTTACAGTGAATGGTCTGAAAAAGAGCAAATATCCAGTGAGCGGCAGTTCTGTGGGCGCAAATGCCTTGTTGATGCCAGAGGAGAATGGCCAGACTGGTTCCAGCTGATAGAAAGGCAACAGTAACTCAAATAAGCACTCGTTGCAACCGAGGCCTGCAGAAGAGCATATCTGAATTCACAACACGTCCAACATTGAGGCGGATGGGCTACAGCAGCAGAAGACCACACCGGGTGCCGCTCCTGTCAGCTAAGAACAGGAAACTGAGGCTACAATTCACACAGGCTCACCTAAACTGGACAATAGAAGATTGGAGAAACGCTGCCTGCTCTGATGAGTCTCCATTTCTGCTGACACATTCAGATGGTCGGGTCAGAATTTAGCGTCAACAACATGAAAGCATGGATCCATCCTGCCTTGTATCAGCGGTTCAGGCTGGTGGTGGTGTAATGGTGTGGAGGAGATTTTCTTGGCACACTTTGGGTCCATTAGTACCAATTGAGCATTGTGTCAACGCCACAGCCTACCTGAGTATTGCTGCTGACCATGTCCATCCCTTTATGAACACAGTGTCTCCATCTTCTGATGGCTGCTTCCAGCAGGATAACACACCATGTTATAAAGCGTGAATCATCTCAGACTGGTTTCTTGAACATGACAATGAGTTCACTGTACTCAAATGGCCTCCACAGTCACTAGAGCTCAATCCAATTGAGCAGCTTTGGGATGTGGTGGAACGGAAGATTGGCATTATGGATGTGCAGCCGAAACATCTGCTGCAACTGTGTGATGCTATCATGTCAATATGGAGCAAAATCTCTGAGGAACAGAATCTTCGTGAATCTGTACCACGAAGAATTAATGCAGTTCTGGAGGCAAAAGGGCTCCAACCCGGTTCTAGTAAAGTGTGCCTAATAAAGTGGCCGGTGAGTGCATGTCAGTGTATCAGAAATGCAATAAATTATTCATTCGTTTTCCTTTGGCTTAGTCCCTTTATTTATTAGGGGTCGCCACAGTGGAATGAACCGTCAACAAAGCCAGCATATGTTTTACACAGCGGATGCCCTTCCTGCTGCAACCCTATACTGGGAAACACCCATACACGCTCATTCACATACACACTCATACACTACGGCCAATTTAGTTATTTAATTCCCCTATAGCGCATGTGTTTGGGCTGTGAGGAAACCGGCGCACCTGGGGGAAACCCACGCCAACTCAAGGAGAACATCCAAACTCCACGCAGAAATGCCAACTGACCCAGACGAGACTCGAGCCAGCGACCTTCTTGCTGTGAGGTGACAGTGCTAACCACTGAGCCACTGTGTCGCCCTGCAATATATATATATATAATTCTGGGCTTGATTTTTATATTCCTAAGTTGGAGCTGTGCATTCCACACACACTTATTTATTTACATGTCGGGTTTACACAGAATAAAACAAGTGGACGATTGGTTCCTCAGTGATGATATCTGCTGCTCTAACTGCTGCTGCTGTGTGTTTACAGCCGACTGTGTGTCGCAGACGGTCCGTCATCATGGAGTGAAGGGTTTATATCGAGGCCTGAGCTCATTACTGTACGGCTCCATCCCTAAATCTGCAGCCAGGTAAACACACACACACACACACACATGTGCATATTTATCCGGACGCCTGACATTTATTATGCTGATGCTCTTTGTTGAAGCTTCTGGTTCATATTCAGAGTAGAGAAAGAGAGAGACTGTGTGTTTGTGTGTTTGTTTTTGAGTGTGTGTGTGTATGTATGCACGAGTGCGTGTGCTTGTGTGGTCGTGTGTGTGCGTGTTTGCATGCTTGTGTGTGTGTGTGTGTGTGTGTGTGTGTGTGTGTGTGTGTGTGTGTGTGCGCGCATGTGTATATGTGATTACATGAGTGGTGCATATTCAACTATCTGTTTTTGTTGAAGTGTCTGGTTCACATTTAGAGAAGTGTGTGTGTGTGTGTGTGTGTGTGTGTGTGTGTGTGTGTGTGTGTGTGTGTGTGTGTGTGTGTGTGTGTGTGTGTGTGTGTGTGTGTGTGCGCGTGTGTCTACGTGTGTGTGTCTATATGAGCGGGGCAGCAGTGCGTGTCCAGCTGTCTGTCAGACTGATGCTCTCTGAGGAAACACACACATCCGTCTCTACAGGGTCACTGTTTGCTTCACACCCGCATGACTTCTGTAACACACACACACACACACATTATATGTATATATATAAGTTGATTCTGACGAGTATGTTTTATACACAGTGTCAATTAATAGTCACTCTGAAGGAAAAGGACCAAAAGCCATTATATATTTCTCTATAATACCATCCAAATAGCATTAAGATACTATACCAAACTGTTGGTTTTAAGCTTTAAGACAGTATCCTTAAAGTATTGTTATAGTTTGTATTGTTATATTGAATTAGTTAGATTTTTGTATATTTTCCATTTTAATTTTGGATCAATAGTGTGTGTGTGTGTGTGTGTGTGTGTGTGTGTGTGTGTGTGTGTGTGTGTGTGTGTGTTTTAGATTCATATTTTTAATAGGAAGCTATATAATATTATATTTGTGCATATACATTAGATTATTCAGTACTGAAGCCAAATCAGGAGCTAATCTAAAAAATTAATTAAGGTAACGGTCCAAAAATGAGTACAGCCAAATGTTATAAATGTTATAGAAAAATATTAAATACAAATTTAAAAAAGGGAAAAATTTAAGTGTAGGAAATATTTGAGTTGAAGTTATGGAGTTAGTAATTTATCAATTATGCAATATTTTGATTAAATTTATATGTAATATCTTTCAATTTCTAAATATATTTGGGGACTAAAATATAATTTTAATAAATATATCTGTTTAATACATCTGTTTTGATTAAATCCACCAAAATACATTGCCTATATTCACTGAGAAATGGAGGAAAATATTCATTTGCAAAATGGGCTGTACTCAAGTATGCTGAGCACTGTATATGTGTATTGTTCATTTGTTTTGCTTCCATTGCTATAGTTTTATTTAACATTTGCTGTTTTTTATGTAATTTATTTTCTCTTTTCCTTTGGATCATTTTTTTTCTGATTTGTTTTTGTATTCTTTTTTTTTTGGTTTTTACTTTTTTATGGTTAATTTGATTTGGTTCCTTTAAATGACATTAGTTTTTATTCTTATTTTTTTCTTTAACAACATTTTGTTTAATTTGTATATGTATGTTTAAAATATGTCTATAGATTTTTAAATGTGTGTGGAATGCACAGCTCCAACATAGGAATATAAAGTCAAGCCCAGAATTATATATATATATTGCTTGGGCGACAAAGTGGCTCAGTGGTGAGGACTGTTATCTCACAGTAAGAAGGTCACTGGTTTGAGTCCCAGCTGGGTCAGATGGCTTGTTCTCCCTGTTTTGCTGTGGGTTTCCGCCGGGTGCTTCGGTTTCCCCCACAGTCCAAACACATATGGTATAGGTGAATTGAATGAACTAAACTAGTTGTAGTGTATGAGTGTGTGTGTATGGGTGTTATAAGTTGGCGGTTCATTCCGCTGTGGTGACCCCTAATAAATAAATGGACTAAGCCAAAGAAAAATAAATGAATAATTAAATAAATTATTGCATTTTTAATATTCTGACATGCACTCACCGGCCACTTTATTAGGTACACCTTACTAGTACTGGGTTGGGTTAGTACCCCCTTTTGCCTTCAGAACTGCTTTAATCCTTCATGGCTTAGATTCAACAAGGTGCTGGGAATATTTCTGTGAAGGAAAATGAATGAATAAATGAATTATTAAATGATGTTCAGGGCTCGAAATTGCGACCATTTTGGTCGCATATGCGCCCGAAAATTAATCTATGCGACCTCATAATATATCTGGGAGCATTAGTGCGACTGCAGATAATGGTTGTAGTGCGACCTGTTTTGATTTTTTGTAAAAACATGCTGAATCGCTCTTCCCTGCCGCTATATTGGTTCATATTAGCTGTCAATCACTCAAGGTTTTCCGCTGTCAGATGACAGGGAGTTGGAGCTTTTATGACCACGGGAAATGCAAACGGCTGAAGAGTAAAAACTTAAAGCACACAGGTTTGCAAACCCCACCTAAAATTGAGGTGCAGATGAAAGCGATCATGACACGTCACGTGGTGAATAATGATCCACCAGCTGAGATCAATCGAGTACGCGCTTCATGGAGAAGGCGCCCGAATCTCATGCGTTGCATTCACTGCGTGTTCAGCGCAAATGTCCGCTAAAAGTCAAATCTAATACCATCGCCAAAGAAGCTCGCCTTTACTAAGTTTACACTGAAACTGCGTCTCATAACAAACAGCGGTATTCCGCCGGTGGTCATCGCAAGAATCCTGCTCTGCCTGCTCATAAATTGGGTCGGCTGACTCGCCAGCTTTTCCACTAGCACAGAAAAATGAAGATCATCTCAGACTGAACCTTTAAATTGACACAAACTGAAACCAAATCTTTTAAAGAGTGATAGAAGTGAGACTTTACTTACTTACTTTTGTCTATTCTTTTTTGAGGTGTATATTATTTTTTTATTTATTTACTGATGACTGCTTTGCAGCTTTCATCATTGAATTGAATGATTTATTATAATCTTTTGTTTGTTTTGTAGCAGAAATATTATTTATTAAATTGACATGCATATAAAAACAGCAGTACAAAATAAATATTTCTTACTGCAATGCTTCATTTTTGTTTGATGCAAACTATACAATTATTTTTCATAAAGTAACAGACTTTTTATAGCAGATAACCTACATTCATGCACATTCAAGGCAGTATCATAAAGAGAAATGTAATTCATTGTTACTATTATTGTCATTTTCATCATCATTAATATTCTATAATTATTAGACATTCATTTTGGAATTATTGCACACAAATATCAATGTCTTCGCAGTATTAGTTAGATAGTTGTTTCTAGTTTTTGTCAGTCCTATTGATGTTGTTTTAAAATACAATAAATCCCTTAAAAAGCAATTTGCAGCGGTGCTCAATCATTTTTGGTGTGTGCTCCTAAATTTTTTCTAGTGCTCCTAAATTTATTTTGGGGCTCCTAAATATTTGAAGTTGGGAGCACCGGTGCTACCAAGTAAAAAAGTTAATTTCGAGCCCTGATGTTTTTTTTAGACATGATCTGCTTTCATTTTGTTTTTATTAGGTCTTGTTGACATAACGTAACAGACAATTAATGCGAAACTAAAATACCAACATACAAAAATAAATCAGACTAAAATGTATTAAAAATGCGACCAGCATTAACGTTTGTTTTAAAAATCACATTTCCAAATTTTATTTTCTTCATTCATTCATTTTCCTTCGGCTTAGTCCCTTATTCATCAGGGGTCGCCACAGCGGAATGAACTAAAACCAGCTCCCAGAAGAAACCCACGCCAACACGGGGAGAACATGCAAACTCCACACAGAAATGCCAACTGACCCAGCCAGGACTCAAACCAGAGACCTTCTTGCTGTGAGGCCACAGTGCCTACCACTGATTTATTTATTTATTTGTTTTTTTGTAAAAACATGTCCTGATTTCAGGAATAAACTCTGTCAGCATTCAGGTATGCATGAACAGATGAAAGTTAAATCTAGATCCAGATCTCCACATATTTCTCTTCTCTTCCCTCCTGATAAATATTATTTATTTTATATTTCTGTTTAAGGGAGAGCAGATTTCTTCAACACATTTCTAAGCATAATAGTTTTAATAACTCATTTCTAATAACTGTTTTATTTTCTCTTTGTCATGATGACAGTAAATAATATTAGACTAGATATTCTTCAGGATACTAGTTTTCAGCTTAAAGTGACATTTAAAGGCTTAACTAGATTAGTTAGGGTAATTAGGCAAGTCATTATACGTCAGTGGTTTGTTCTGGAGACAATCCAAACAAATATTGCTTAAGGAGGCTAATAATACTGACCTTAAAATGGGTTTAACTATTAAAAACTGCTTTTATTCTAGCCGAAATAAAACAAATAAGACTTTCTCCAGAGGAAGAAATATCATAGGAAATACTGTGAGAAATGTGCTTGAATATCACTTGAGGAATATTTGAAAAGAGTCAGTATACACAGGAGAGCTAATAATTGTAATTGATCAGTAAAGCGGATCTGTTCCTGGATCAGCTGTGCTTTAGAGCGGTTTCTCCTCCATCAGATTGATGATCTCCTCCTCCTCCTCTTCATCTTCTTCTCCCCTCTTTCATTAGCTGATTGCATTGGTGTTTCGACCTTGTGTTTGTCCTGCTAATGGAGCCGTTCTGTACGTCTGTCTGCTGGATTTGAGCCCAGGCTGCATTTATGAGCAGCGTCTCGCTTTAATCAAAACCACACTGCAAACCTTCAATCTGGGACTCCCCATTCCTAGTTTTGTGCTGAACAATTCATCTGTGCGTGTCTTTAAGAAAAATAAAATAGTTTGATCTTGTAATCTTTAATTGTAATCTGAAAAAGCGCTTCCTGTTTGTTTTCAGTTCAATTCTCAGATTAGGTCTGTCTGAGGTTTTGGGTGTGGCTAACATGCTTAACCACGCCCCTCCAGCTGTAAGTTTTGACATCACTATGACAAGCAGAAATGGTGAGGAGGAGGAGT